GAGAGAGGGTGTTGAGCCGCCGTCAAAAAGAAGGCGACTCAATTTGTCTGCTCAGTGATGGTTCTAATTTTACTCATTCACATTCGTCTAAAATGTTAGAATAAGTTCATCAACCAAACCAGACATATCAGATTACGCAGTCGCAGTCTTAATTTTCCTTAGAGGGCTAAATGTTAATGACCCTAGACTGAAAGGTTAGGAGAAGTGGTTTCGTAACTTACAAGCTCATATCTGATTATCTCAACCATACTTGTTTACGGACCTACGCAGTCTCAGTCAAGGCGTTTCTTGGGTCATTAGGTCTTGAGGATCAAAACCTGAGATTACAACTTTTGACAACTCTGATTTAGGAACCGTATTGCATATAGACGCTAATACGCACATACACACACTCATACAATCGAGCAAAATGAACAGGACCAGTATGAAAGAAAATTAAGCAAACCACTCTTTATAGATATATCTAGGCTTTTAATTTTCATTTGGCTCAATTGAGTCGGATAGTGTTCTTGACCTAGTGTTAACATGTGACTCTTACAAGTATGAAACCCACCTCTGATGATGTCCATCATATGATGGACGAAAGCTCAGCATGTTTTCACCCGAAACAAGGGAGGAAGTCTTGTGGACTGTGTTAAAATGAATATCGTATAAAAGCCAAACGGCTGCAGTACAACAAGATCTATCTGTCCTCATCTGGTGAGATCGACCAACGAATCTATTCTTCATTCACTTTCATACGAACTGAAAGTCCCTTTAACAATATTATCTCAAGGGATTCATCAACACCCAGTTTCTCTTCATATATAAAACATTTTTGTGTTCTCCTGATCTTTAGCGAGTAGGCCAACATGTCTCACCAACATAAGGTCGGCCACATACTCACACAATCTTGTGGCAAGAGGATCTCGATAATGGATGATATTTCTCTCTAAATATGACAAAACTTTCGTAATGTAATCATTTTCATAATGATCAAATTGTCTATATTGAAAAATAAGCCCAAAGTAAGCAGCAAGAAATCTCTTTTACGTTTTATAGTTTAATAAGTTAGTAATTTAGTGCCTATTAAGGAAACTAATGATAAGGTTGCGAAAATTTGATTCCTGTTCAACATAATTCGATTTGCATTTAAGTCTCACCGACTTAAAACTAATTACATACTACTGATAGAAGTAATATATAAAATCCATGATAAATGAATCGTTTTTGTGTGTCCCTTTTACCGTCATCTCCTTTATTTATTCACCTACTCTAATTTAACATAATCTTGGACAACAATACTATATGATTTATAGACTTGATGGAGAAGATTGAACATACTCTAGTTGTGATAAATCGTAGGTAATCCTCAAACATATAGCATTGACGCCAGCTGTGTATCCAACCGATGTACCCGCTCACTAGGTGCTCCTGCATCAGTTTCGGTAGCCGGATTTGATCAGTATGGTTGTCTGACTTAATATGAGAATTGGCAGAGATGAATTCAGGATCAGAGTCGGCCTGGGGCATAACATTGGGAGAGACTGCTGCTGAGGATTGCAGTAGTCGGCTGAACTTGGCAGGGGATGGGAGGTATTCTGGCAAGTGAAATGAATTAGTCGGAGGCGCCTCATCGACAATAGTAAGGACGGTGGGCTTAAGGGGGAGTAGATTTCCATAATCTTTATGTAACCCTCTAGGTTTTTTCATGTGCACCGTCTTACGTTTGTTATCTTCAAGCCTTTCTTGAGTCTCATATTTCAGTTTGCTATGCTTATCTTTCTTGTCTCTGGCACTAACTGGAGACAGAATTCTCAGCCTCGTCATCTGGGATGCATCAAGCCGATTCAAACCTTGTTCCCCTAGAAGACAAACTAGGTCAGGGGACAGAAAGAACTGGGGATTTTTTGCTTTCTGTTTATTACTGGAAACGCCCGCAGAACAGGCCGATAAAGAATGTCCTCCATCCCGATCTTCTTTGGTCCGTAAGGCACTGCTGGAGGACTTTCTCCTAAGTCCTTGGAAATCTAGATGAGACTGTAGCAGTAGTTTCTGATCGGCCTCAGTTAGGCAGTTTGATTTCGAGAGTTTCTGCACTAAATGCTCAACGACAGCATAGTTTATCTAAAAGGGAAAATGGTGCAAAATAAGGCCATAAAGAATATATTTCGAGCTTCCTTATCTAATTTCAAAGGTATAAAGTTGGAATATGAACTTAAGGAGACAAAAAAATGTGAAGTTTTGAGGTAAAATTAAGTAGAAAGGTAATTCAAAGATAAGGAGAATTAAACTTGATAGTAATTTGAATCCTTGTTCCAATTTCATTGAACATAATTAAACTGTTAGGACATGGTAGACTAAAGAAATTCAAGGCATACACTAGTATAAATTAATTTGCATCTTTTACTCAAGCTTTTATAGAGCTTACTAGCCATTCCTACAGCATTCGTCTCAAAATTCATATGATAATCAAGTGAAAGTGTGGTTGAAAGGTCTAAAACCTGATGCAAAGTCAATTCATGTTTTAATAAACTAAAAGTGAAGAAGCCGATTAATACCAAATTATAAAGTATTCTGAATCTGCTTAGTACTTGACTACTTGGTTATCTTTACTTGTGTATGCATCATGACTGGACCTATGAGAAAGACTCTTTAGACCATTAAAAAAGGCCTTGAGTGTATATTTAAAGTCTAAGTTCATACATAAGAATTGTTGTCTTGAAGCCTACTTATTATAAATATAAGTTTTAAAAGTTATAAAAAAAGGCCAACACATGCTGTAGAACATGAGATCAAGCAAAAGAAAGCAAAATATAGTGTCGTCATCTATAAATAACAACCATAAATCTACACAAGAAGTGGACTTACTGCTTGCTTTAAGCGCTGCAGCTCTCTGACGTCATTCACATTGTGTAAGTTCATATCCCTAAATGAGGTCAAAAGGCGATAGAAATTTGGGAAAAATAAAAGTACATGTTAGAGATA